GGAACAAGAAGCTACTAGGAACAAAGGGCATCGCTACCAGGAGCAAGGACGCCACTAGGGGCTCCTGGCCTTACTACTAGGAGCAAGGTTCGCGACTAGGAACAAACTACGAAAGGAGCAAGGACGCTGCGAACGTAGCTCCTGGCCTTGCTGGTAGTAGCAAGAAGCTATTAGCTGTCCAGTGACTTCAAGGAATTCCGGTGGAGTTCTCTTACGGGTCCGTCTGGGTCCGTCCTTCTCCGGGATGGTTGGATCGTGGATCAGGTCCACCTGGCTGAAGAGTTCAAAGGCGTCCGTTTGCTTCGCGTGCCGAGCACCCTTCGTCTCTCCGAGCTGTCGGCCATGTTGATCCGCAGCCTGCGGCAAAATGCTTTGGCAGACCTCTCCCCAAGCGAGTTCGCACAGCACTTTGGCTTCAAACAAAAACACCTTCAAAATGCCGAGCTTTTGAGTGCTAAAATCAAAGAGACGGTGTCCACTTTGCCATCAAGTGTGTCCGTCACTCGTCAATTTGATGTAGACCTGCCTCTTCCACACCTTTAACCAGCATGCATGTTGGTTGGAAGTCTGAAGAGTGCTTCACAGAGGAGCTCTTTCGTTTGAGACGCTGAGTAGCATCTTTCGGCCTCTTTGTGGGGCTGACTGCAGCACTGTCGTTTTGGAATTGAGAGTCTTACAAGGTGCTCATGGAGGCTCTACAAGCCGGACGATCTTCCCAGATCTTCGAGCATGTCCTCGCAATCATCCTTTGGCGCGGTGTCAGACGGAGCAGGGCAGCTTAGAAATCGCTTCGTGATTTGATGGCAGAAATCAAGGAACTTGACTTCACTGCAAGCTTCAGTCATGGTTGCAAGGACTTGCTTGACGATGCTCGACAAACTTTTGAAACAGACATCGAATCATGATGGTATGTGTCCCTTTCTCACTCGTCATTTCTGGCTAAGGTCGCAGCAGTAATTTCCAAGGTGAAAAGGAAGTCTTTGGGCAGCAGTCCAGACTCACCTCCTCGCAAGAGTAGACGTCTGAGCGGTGCCAAAGAACCTTGGATGATATTGGCAGAAGATGCATGTACATTCTCACCCCTAAACGGATTCATTCTCACGATCCTTGCAGCTTCTGCTGGCATGTTCATGTCCAGTATGGCCCACAGAACATGCATGTACACCACTAGAAACTCCGGTGCAGCACTTTTTCACAGGACTTTTCTCAGGTGCAAGTTGTCCACCCCCACCACACCATGGGAGTTGAAAAAAGGTACTGTAATTTTCCTGATTGGGCCATCAAAGGACTGCAAGCACATGTCACTGGCGCAGACAGAGAGTGAGAGAGAGAAAGCAAGATAGCAACATATTGCAACAGTTTCGGAGATAGGCTCAATGACCCAAGGCTTCTCCAATCTGCAGGTCTTTTATTGTCCAAGATTGTCATGCGTTCTTTGAGCGTTCCGTTCATTCTTGGGCATTATGCTTTCGTAGTTTGATTGCTGACTACACCGAGGCAGACTTGGACGACACCATGTTCTTGGGCGACCTGCTAGCACAACATCCCGAGCCACAAAGTCGATATCAGTGGAAAGCTGAGTGATTGTCTAGCTAGTCGATGCTTTGCTAGCTAATAATCCTAATTAGAAGCTTCTGGAGAGTTGTACTGATTAATGCAAATGTGTTGGTGTGGCCAGGCAGTTCTTATGCCCAATCTCCATGGACATCATGCAAGATCCCGTGGTGGTCGGCGGAAGCGGCAACACCTATGATCGCAAGTCCATCGAGAAGCATTTCCAACATTGCCATCGCGACCCACTGAACAACATGGAGCTTCGACGCCCTCAAGACAGGAGGCTCATTCCCAACAACCAACTCCGCAGTCAGATTCGTACCTGGGCGGGCACCACAGATTCTACGGACAAGCTATTGAAACTATTTTAACATGTTAGAACATGATAGCACATTCGATGCTATTGTACTTGAGGGTCACTAAGTGAAGTATAGTGAAGTCAGTTTAAGTTATCCAGTGGAAGGTTGCTATCGGCAAGTGGAGGACCGCAGATCTAAGGCGAAGCAGAAATCTCTCGAGTGCAGCTGCGGCTTTCAGCTCATTTGGCCGAAGCTCTTCGAAAACATCCGTTTTGAGTACGTAGTATGGGAACCTGTTTGGAAGAACAGAAGTGCCGGATGCATCCAAAAAGAGAAAGGGATCATGAGGCCGGACCCCCAGAATGTTTTGAAATAGATGGAAGTGTGATTACTTGCCCAAATTGTTCCAATTTGTATTGAAATCGATTCTAGTTCTTTAGGACCGCTTTTGTGTTTGGAAATTCTGGCCTTCCAAATGCCTCACAGCTTCTATCATTCTCTACCTCCTTGATCGCTCTCCGTTGGTTCTTCCAAGTGACCAAGGAACAGCGAAGCTTTTCGAGTGATGCTCCCATGGCAGCATACCTTGGATGGTGTGCATCGCTTCTGAGAGGCTCTTGAGACGCCGTAGGACGATGCCCCACGGTTTTGGGGGGCGATGTAGGACGATGTAGGAGATCTGGAGAACAGCAGCCAGGAGTTCTGACATGCTTCGATCTTTGTTTACTCAAGCCGAGCCCACGGCCAGAGGTAGCCAAAGGACAGACACCACGGATGAGAAAATTGGATGAGAAGATCTACTCCAGGCTGTCATGCGTAGGAGTGCTTCCAGCTTTGGACATCGGGGTTGACGAGCTCCGTGCCGCTGCACAGGGCAGTCGATTCCCCGCAGGTGTTTTTTACTGCAGCTGTGAAGGGCTGCCTTAGAGAAATGCTCGAAGAGGCATTTCCTGTGGATGTAGGCCAACGATAGACCAATGCATGGAGCTAATGGAGCTTGGGTGAGTAAAATTGATCTCTTTTTTTTCCCAGGCAAAAAGGCTAAAGCTTGCTTGCCATATGAAATGCTGTGATGACTGCCGAGAAAAGAAAGCACTTTGTGTCCGGATCAATTTGCTTCCAACATTGCAAATCACATGGCAATAAATACAGTCAGTTGGCGTTGACCAACAAAGTTCTGACGTCCAGACATCTGCAGATCTTGAGGTCTTCAAGACCTTGCACGAAAATTCATGCAGCTTATAATATAAGCCTGAGGCCACACATCACCGTGTTCCTCAACAAGATGGTGATAGCTGCCACGTTTTGGCAAAGTTCGCCTTCGCCTCAGGGATGGCCAACCTGATGTCCCCTGATGGCCAGGATATGGTTGAAGACATGGAGCTGGTTGATTTGGTGGAGCTCGAGGCCCCCTGATGCCGAGGAGCATTTTTTTCACCTGGCCTGACTGTTTGTGTCTGAAACACGTGAAAGCCTCAATAGCGGAAGATCTTCACAAGAAGAGGAGTTTCTTCATCTGGGGGTTTTCATGGCACAGCCATGCACAGCCGTGTATTTGGAGAACTTGGAGTTCTGCACCGGCAAGTGTTAATGTATGTGCTCAGAACTCTGTCGTTTCAAGAAGACTTGGTCTCGCAGTCGTTCCGTTGCATCTCTGAAGCAAACGACGATATGGCAGCTGTATTGTGGCTCAAGTTGCAGATTTGAAAACATGCTCAACAATCTGTGTGTCTCTTGGCTGTACTACTGTGGCTGTACATTGTGTGACTGTCAGAGCTGGGTATGTCTTGATGATTGATCAGGAATCGGATCAGGGAATGCCCTTGGTATTGTTCTCCGGAAGTGTTGGGTTGGGCATTGTCTTGAAGAGTTTGTAAATCGTCAGGCACGCTCCAGAGGAGGCCACAGACGGATGCGAGCACGAGTGATTTGGAAGGACCCTGACTTGCGAAACTGTGACAACTCCCCTAAAAGCCTCAAAAGAGGTGGTCCAAGCCAAGCTGGTGTTTTGGTCTTACCACTGAAAATCTCAAAAGACAGTTGCGGAACCTCTTCAGCTGTATCAAATGACCTATGCTGTGACAGGAGGGCAGTGGTTGGATCGTGCAAGGCGAGGCTTGCAGTCCGGTGAAGAGTCTCTAAGAGCTTGCTCAGTAGAGTATGTAGAGCGGTTTGAGTCAAGTTCAGACTTTTTGTAACGTTTGACAGTGAGCCTTTGATCTACATATCAAAGTGAAGCTGCCCTTTTTTTGAGCCTCCGACTCACCCATGTTTGTGGTGTTTTGTTGGGTCCAATGGTGGTGGGCGGGTGTCACGTCATTTGCTTATCCCTTTTTTTGAGGCACCGATGGATTGACCAGGACATCCTCGGGTGGTGCTCATCCTCGGGGTCTCACTTTCCAGCATTCCGAAAGACGTTCTCTTGCTGGGACCGTCGGTCGTGCCTGCCGGCATGACAATTGATTTCCAAAAACAAGCCATGCTTGTCCATGGTCTAACAAAACAGGCGATGAGGATATCGGTTGGTTGGCCCTTACAGCCTGCAAGCATTGTCCCACTGGATTGACCTTTTGAGGACATCACTGCTGCCTAGAGACAAGACAACACAGGCTGTGTGCCAAGGTGTCCCAAGGCCAGCGTTGGTTCTGCATGTACAAGAAGCAGTCACTGGACATTTGTACATATTTGTGTTATTTTGTGTTTGTGTATATATGTTATTTTGGTGTTCTGCTAAATGTCAGGAATTCAGCCCGGATATTTCTTCGTGAGCTTCATACACAACGGCACCAGGGCTCGCAGAACATAGTGCTCCTGGGAGCTATGTTCCCTCATAAGGGGTGTCACTGATTGGGAGGAGAGTAGGCTTAAATGAAGGATTGATCATGCTTTCAAAGGCAGTCCCAGCAAACACATGCTAGTTTTGTGATTCGATGAAACACATGCACCTGTTTGTACTGAAGGCCCATATAAGTTGACCCAGTCTCAGTGCTCATAAGAATTGGTTGACAACGTCTTGCATGGGCGTGTTTGTGTTCGCCACTGCTTGCAACAGTGGAGACCAAGGTATCTGTCAGTGGCACAGAACAATCGCAGCGTACAGGTGGTCATGCCAGAAACTCAGTTTCAACGCAATTTCAGAAGACGCAAACCAGTTGTTCGCAGGGGCTCCATATTGGGCTGTGGGAGAATTCGTGGGATAAGTCCACCTTTCTTGTGGTTGGGAAGACCCTTTATGGGGCGTGTTTTTCATATGATTAAGAAGGTAGCGGGTAGCGATTTCGTGCATGTTTTCACTGATGAGTGCAGCCTCTAAGAAGAGATGGTGGGTTCTGAGGACTCAGCAGCCAGGTTCATTGTTTGTGGCTCACGTGCGTACTGGACGCGAGGCCCAAGCAATGCCGTGTGGGAAACATTCACCATCTTCGGGTGCGAACGGAACCATTTTGATTCGTGAATATTCGTGGTGGCTTTTGGGCACCTTTGTTTTTAGCCCGAGTTGCCCTCACCCTTACGAGCGACTTAATTCAGTAGGCATTTTCTACTTATATAATTAAATAAGGCTAGTGGCTTAGTAAGCTACTAACTACTGGACGCTGGATAGCTCACGTTTCTTCAAGGAAGCACCCCCCGTTGAAGAAGCGTTCACACTATTCATTTGGTTCCTAGATGTTTGAAGAAACTAGCTCAGTAATTATTGGACGCTGAAGATGGCACACGTACATCTGGCTTTGTTTAAGAGAGGATCCAATGCAAGACTTGAAACAATACCTGCGACATGTGTAATATGACCTTTGACCTGCAAGACTCGCAACATGTTGTGTGACATTCAACACACGTGTGACATTCAACTCGGGACAAGAATTGTTCGACTTGATCACCATATGCCACACGACCGATGAAACCTCAGGGCCTGAGAAACCAGGTGTGCAGAGTTGCAATTGCAAGTCTCCAATATTTTACTGAAAAGCGACCGGTGCAAGTGCAAGTGTCCAATCTGTGAGCGAGACACATGAATCGTTCGTTTAGTTTATGGTAGTTCCAAACTGCTAGCAAGACGGATGCATCGCTCTAAGGAGCGAGAACCAGACATAAGAACCGCTCTGTAGTCTAAGCAGCAGTACACATCCATGGCCAGTGGATGCTTCCCTCGCTGATGCGTAGCTTCATTCCACAGCGTAGCATCAGAGAGCTTTGTCCCCTTGCTGAGTATGAACAGATGCCAAAAGGCTCCCAGTCACTCCATGGGTTCCACACACACAGGAGGGTGATGTGAGTTTAGCAGGAGCGGAACCGCATTGGATTCCAGCATGAAGGGCTGCCAGCGTGTGGCTCGTTCTTGCGGGCCCACTGGCACCTTCAGGAGGTCTTTGGCTTCACAGGACAGACCTGATGGTTCTTTTGGCCAACTTTGTGCTCAGGCTGTAGGGTTTTAATAGGTTTTTATATGTCACCATTACGGAACTGGGAGACCCAGGCACCGAGAGTCGTCAAATGCAATGCGATGGCCACTACTTTGACTCCACAGACGAGTTCAAATGGCATCCGGATGCCACTCTCCAGAGCCTTGGCGAGACGATCCTAGCCTTGGAGCAAAAGTGACATGGAGCGACTGTGGCCAGGCATGCGTCCACTGGACTTTGGCTCTATGTGGATCCATCCAAGCCAGAGATCCCAGTGCTGCACGAGATCCACAAGAGTCGTTGGGAGGCGCCTTCTTTTTTTCCAAATGCGGTCAAAATGTGTGGATCGGGTGAGGTGGCGCCCGCCCACACAACATGATCGTGTAGCATCCTGTTGCCTGCCGGAGAGTTGTCCACTCATCCCTGGAGGCTTTGCCCACTACTACTTGAGCCGAGACCAGCTGTTGGGCCACTATGATGCACTTGACTGCTGAAGTTTTACTTTTGATTAAACAATGTTACCAGGCATGCAACAGCGCACCAGTCGCACTTTGCAGCTCAGGATGAACTACATCCGCAGCAGTCTTGTCCTCGGGGCAGTTGAGTAGCACAAATGGATAAAATATGACAAAATTGTTTTTGAAAACTAGCTGTTTGAAGCCCAGGCAGGGAACAGCGGCATGTAGATGTCGGCCGTCTCACCTTGCATACATTTTAAAGCTCAGCTCACATTTTCCGTGTTGCATGGTCGCGTTGCATCCTGCCCTACCTGCCTAGTGGTGGAAACAATGGGCAGGCTGGTGCGCAACAGAAGAATTTGTGTAAGACTGATGCTGGGCCAGAAAAAACATCGCTTCAAAAGAAACGCCCAAATAAAGCAGACAAGCGTCAGTGTGGCCCAGTTTGGTCGCCTTGTACAGAAAGAAGGCCAGCCGAGCCCTGCAAAAGCAGAGCGCTCCTTTGCTTTTAAATGCACATCAACTGGCTGCAAGCTGGATGTATAGTTTCTCCCAGCAACTGTTTTGAGTTTCGCTGGACCTAGGGGCAGCGATGCAGATCCCATTCTGCTCTTTTGAGCACATTTTTCTCTGAACAACATCCACAAAGCCAGCGAGCTTTGGTGGAGACTAAACAGAGATCTCAACCACGTGGAAACATGTGAACACCGAAAAGCCATGAACGCCTCAAAACCTAGATTTGTTTGAAGACGCAAGGCTAGCGCAGAGTCGACAAGCATCACAATTGTTGTGTCTTCATAGAAGCTTGCGACTTGCGAAAGGTCAGGGAGATGCTGGACATGTACCAGTTCCCTGGTGATGAGACGTCAGGGATCCAAGGATCTTGAAGTGGAGCTTGGACTGTTGGTCGGTGAGGTGTAAGCTTGCATTTGAGATTAGAGGAGCTGTATTCATATATGTGTATAATGATGTGCACTTCTGTTGCAAGTCAGGTTGCTTCTACTGTCCTCTCTTTCTGGTACTTGCAAGAAGCACCTGGCCAATGCATTGGCTCTTCAACTCCTTAGGCCTTTCATCAAGGGATCTGCGCTGAAAGCCTTGAATGGTGACACCAGCGAGTACGGAGTTCCAGCCATCAAGAAGTCCCTTGGTTCTCAAGCTGGAGAATGCTGCTGTTGGTGGAAAAAAAGCCCAGAGAGGGAAACCCACAATCTTCCAGTTGGTGCAGGATTCCCATCAACATAGGAACATTTTGGAGGTATTCGGTATTCACAGCAGCTGCAGGTTGATGGAAGCTGTGGATGGGCATTTCCCGGATCCAGAAAGGCGGTGAAAACATGGTGATACAGCTGCGGTGGGTCCGCTGAACTCGATTCTCGACCAGGGACGTGGACAAGCCCTTCCTGATGGGAGTCGAAAGCGCGAATGGCTCAGAATAGCATAGTGTCAGAATACAATCAAAGTGTCAGGTTGGATGGGTCTCTTCTGGTCCATTTCGGGTCGGTCTCTCAGGTCATGAGCATTACCGGCAAGGGCACTGTGGCCACTGGCCGGATAGAGCGTGGCGTGGCGAAGTCGGGCGAGAGCATTGAAATCGTCGGCTTGAAGGACGGGCCTGGGCTCGGGAATGGAATGAAACGCTTGATCCAGATGATTCCGGATGTAGATACCTGGAGCAAACTGGTGGAGGACAAGAAGGAGAAAGCCACCATCGCAGGCATTGAGATGTTTCACAAGACCCTGGACGAGGGCCAATCAGGAGATCAGTGGGGAAGCCTGGTGCTTTACAGCATCTTGTTTGGAGTGAAGCGGCCTAATTATGTCATCCTATTTTGCCTTGGACATCATGATATCATAGAGAGAAGAGAAAGATCTGCAACGCCTAGGTGTGGCATCATGTTGAAGGGTGTGAAGAGAAATGAGATTCAGCGAGGGCAGGTCCTTGCTGCTCCTGGCACCGTGAAAACGTCCGAGCCGTAGATGAACGAGAGAGACTGGCAGAAGGTGTAATCTAAAGTCTCCCCAAAGTTTGAATTTGGGACATGTAATTCTGTGATAACTTGGGACTGCATCAGTCTAGGGAGGTCAGGACTTGAGCTCCAAGAAGCTTCCCACTTGGACGTCGACGGAGTCGATGGAGGCTGAATGGACGCTGAGTTGATCGCTGAGGTTTTCAAAGTTTGACGCTGACATTTACGCAAGCAACTCAGATATGTGTCGTCCGTACGCATCAAGGACGCTGTCCGAAGGCAAAGTTGAGGAATTCGGCACTCGTTAGACTTTGGGAGTAATCATTAGACCTTGCCAGCTTCAGGGTTTGCTTCCCATAACAATTCACCGATTTCTCGCTTCTCGCCATTGCTTTAGGTCCTAAAAGAAGATGAAGGAGGTCGAAAGAAACCCTTCTTCTCCAGCTACAGGCCACAGGCCCTCCTGTATTCATTTGTCCTCCTTGGCCCCGTCACGTGATCCTCGAGTTCATTCTGGTTTGGTGGAACAAGATATATAAGATGTTTGTTGAATTACTGTATATAGATGTCTTGTGGTCCTTACATGTCCAGATCCGTGCACTCACTCACTGTGTGTTGCCGGAGACAGAAGATGCCAGGCATTTATCAGAACTGGCACTGTGACGGTGGAAGTGCTGTTGCCAGAGAACGTCGCCTAGCCATGTTTGTATGCCAAGAGCTAATTCCGGAATTCAAACTCTGCACAGGTTGAAATGGCAATGCCGGGAGATTCCCTGTCAATCAGCCGATCACTGAGCTGCGACTCAACTCCGATGGATCCAGTTAATGAGTCTCCCCATGCTAAGGAGATCCAAAAGATCAAGACATGGAAAAAGGGTTTAAACGGTTTAAACCTTATGTAGCGACCGACCTTCCAGGTAGGTCAATGACCTACAGATGACCCACATGTTCTGCGAAACGATGCTCGTTCTCAGGCCTGGTGGCAGAGAAGCCCATGGCTTTGGAGGAGGGGTCTGGGCCTGAGTCAGCCCGAGTGATGAACATCCAACAGTCGACGGGTTTAGACAAATGCAAGGCTGGATCCAAGGGACCCAAAAGACCCAAGTGTCTAAGCTTCCAGACAAGGGGCCGCTTCTAGACCTTTCGGGGCCCACCGGAGGTTCAAGGGTTTCGTGAGATGTGGAGGAGGTTGCAGAAGAGGACCCATGAACATACTCATCATTCCACAATGTTCCACAGCTACCAACTACGAAGACTAAGGCTTCGCTTTGCCCTGCGTGAAGGAGGTCTTACAGTAGGCGGGCTTTACTCTGCTGTCCTCCAGGGTAGCAAGTTGTGGCCATCCTGGAGGTTCCAGGAGCCTCAGCACAGATTCGCAATTCACTTCAACTAATTCGTAAGTGCACAATGCTGGATCTTCAGATCTTGCCAGGTTCTGGCATCATTACCAAGTGCTACTAGGCCTGCTAATGCCAGAGTTGCGGGTGGAGATCGGAAGTTGAACAAGCTGCAGATATTCCGAACGCATTTTGATTTGTTTATGGAATGAATCTGGCAAGCGATTGATACCGCTGAACCGCTGATACCGCTGCGATCGATCCTCCAAGATCCGAAACAAAGAAGCATTTGTGCAGAAGAAGTGGATGTTTTTTTGGTACATACTCTAGCAACTTGAAGTGATTGAAAAGAAAATACACGAAAGAATTCAGGAAGATCCTGAGTAGTTCAAGGTAGATGACCTCCATGAAGCCGTGTATATGAACTTCACAAGCTAGCAAATGCTAGCAGAATGGCTGATAGGACGCGAAACTCCCAAACTGCATTCGCGAAAAGACACTACGTTTTGGAGGGTCTCGGAATGAATGGTCTGGCAAAGTGTCAAAACGGATTGGATCGGTTGTAAAATGTTTGCGCGATTGATGAAGATGGTACTGATGAGTTCAATACGAATATTAATACATGTGTACTGGGTATTACACGAGGAACGTTTTGGTTCGTCCAACTAAGAAAATTCTGTAAAGGGTACAGTATGCATGGAGTGCTTAGAAAGGAGGAGGTTTATAGCAGAATGTGGAAGGGAAATAGGGGTGTGCCATGGATAGGCAATTGACAGACAGATCACGGGCAATTGACCAGTTGAAGAGTTATTTTGATCCTCCTTCTTTGTCCCTTCGTCGCAGGGGAACAGACCGCTCAACGTTGAGCGCTTTGTCGGCGAAGTCGCTGGTGTTTGGCCACCGGAGATGCAACTGGTGCTTTTGGCAAAGCGCCACAATGTGCAAGCGTTCAGCATTGTTCTTGATATCTAATGTCAGGAATGGACACTATGTCTATCTATTTCTGTAGGATTGATACTTCTTGTGCCAGATGTATCTCAAGCCCCCAGACACTTTCGAAGCATCAACGTTCGCACTTTCCAATGCTCACATATAGTGCTGGCGCGGACTCCGCGGGAAGCAGCACTGAGCTTGTTGAGAGTGGCAAAGGGGCTATAGAGGGAGCGTTCCCTGTTTTTCCGGGCCCGCTACCATGACCCAAAACAACCAAACAAGGGATCTACAATCCCCCATAAGGATCAAAGGGTATAAAACAGAAAAGTCAAAATAAATTTGTTTCGTAGAACGTAGAATACCATCCCTGTGTACATTCCAAAATAATGTTAAATAACTAAATAAATAACATTGATTATAAATGTATGGGTTTATTTATAATGGAAATTATTTGATTTCTTATTAGATAATTTAAATTAGTGAAATACTAGGTACTAGCCTCAAGTCGACTCAGCTTGTGTAAAGTCTATTCGGAACCGTGTGCCCTTGTAGAACTGCACTTCACAGGAATGCCTAAGTATAGATTGTATTGATCTATAACACATGTTTTTGTGTTGTACCCATGGTGTGCCTGATTGCCACTTGTTTGTATTTATGAGGCAATTTCCACGAGGGTGAAGGGTTAAGGATAGCTCTTTGGGCCCATGCCACAATTGCAAGGATCTTCGGGCCAAGCTGGTCTTCTGCTGGGTTGCTGATGCTGTTGCTGGCTGGCGGCTGGTTTGCTGTTGCTTCCGCTGCCGCTGTTGCCGCTGTTGCTGCTGCTGCTGCTGCTGCTGCTTTTGGTTGGGTGCTGCTGCTGCTGTGCTGGTTGGCGTCACAATGTGATTTGCTTGCCCTAACTGCTTTGCAAGGACTTTCGCGTTTGGATGCAAGTGTTTTCGATGGGTGTATAACCCTATTTACAGCTATTTATCCCGATGCTAATTTATTATGGGGCGATACAGTGGGGCAGCCGCGCGGAAATTTAAGAGGAATAAATAGAACCTCTATAAGATGCCGCGAATAAGGGGTACAATTTTACAACAGACATCCAATGATGGAGACTCTTGGTCTGTAGCAAGCCGTGGAGGGTGGCGATTCTTTAAGGCGCTAG